AGGGGCCGTATTCTCGATCTCAGACTTACTACGCGAGGAGGGGAATACAGGACAGAGCTGCCTAATCTAATAGCCCTGGCAACAGCTTATCTCCTGTGTGTGTAAAAAAAATCTTTATGTAACGTTGAGGACTGTTTCAGAAGACTTTCTGCCTTTGAAGCGACAAATTGCTTTGGAGGAGAAACCCACTCCACGTTGAGCCCTTTGGCTCGAGCAGTTAGTTACCTGCGAACTGGTCCAAGTCAACACGAGCTTCTGATGTTTAATAATAATATTGGGAGCAGATTCTGATTGCAATTGAGGCAGTTTCTCCGCAAGAACATTCGGACTTCCTGCCGACGTGAAAGGCGCTATGTTGTTGTTGTCGGCGGCGTTCAGGAGGCTGAGGAGAGATCAAAATTAATAATAATTCCTTCCATTTGATACAGCGCCTCAGCAGGTCTTCGAGACGTCTCAAAGCGCTTCATTCACAGAATACGAGGCTGTAAAGTGTAGTGACTGTGTAGTTGGTGGGCGAAACGCGGCAGCCAATTGCGCACAGCAGCGTCCCCACAGGCAGCCGTGGGTTGAGCGACCAAATTTCTTTTAAAAAAAATTTTGCAAGATTATTATCCCACGGAAAAGCGATCGAATAACAACCGGGTTCCTACTGACTGCTGGTAATCAGCGTGTGCGTGTGCGTGTGTGTGGGAGGGTGGGGTGGGGGGAATCGAACCCGAGTCCTCTCGCTTGCGAGGCGAGGGCTCTGACCCCTGAGCTCCAGGGAACTCTGACATTCAAATGGTGACTGTTTCGTTGCTTGTACATTAACACAAGATGTTTGATTACAATCAACTGACAGAGAGAATACCGCCTGAGGGAGTTGACATCGGATCCGAGACCAACATTGATAGAAACAAACATAGAATTGAGGCTTTACCACTAGATTTTATTCCTGATAATTGATTGAGGTGATTGTGTGCCGATCAGTATAAAGTACTTGTGGGCGTGGAAGTCTCGCAGAACTGACCATTTCGTCGCTTTAAAATGATCTGCAATTATTCGTGGCTTTTAAACTGCAAGCAAACGCGTTGTCTCAGAGAACGTTTGTGGTTCCGATGTATTCTGTCAGCGGTAATAGCGGAACGTGAAGCTTTTAGAGCGCGGCTGCTGCAATCTGACGAGTCTGTTCATTTTGAACGATGAAAGTGTGGCGAGTTCTCGCTCGAATACTCCAGGGAACTATCATTCATATCCCCAGGGAAGCATCACTCAAAATAGAAGGCGAATAACTAGTGACTGAGATAATGCTTGGTGTAACTCTTAACCAGTCAAAGCTTACCATAATAAAATATTACCCCAATAAAGCGAATCAAATGTGAGAACCACTCTAGTATTATTCCCACTAAAGCTGATGAAGACTCTAAATTAATCTGAAGTGAAATCGATTACAAACTTCTTTCCGTTTGTCATTGGCGGAACAACGAAATGTTCGCCTGAGCAAAGGGAGAGAACTGGTTGATAACGATATGTTATGTTATAAGGGCGAAACCTCGGGCAAGTTTCCTTACTCCACACAGAGCCTAATAATAATCCCTCCAAAACCAAAAACAATAATAAATTGGTCATTTTCAACCCACGACTGTTTGTGGGACATTGCTGTGCACTATTGGCTGCCGCGTTCGCCCACAAATATACAGTCAATTCACTTTACAGTGTGTTCTGCGAAGCGCTTTGGGACGTCCTCCCGACGTGAAAAGCGCTATATCAAATGCAAGGATTATTATTATTATGTGGAGTTCCCCGGAGCTCAGGAGTTAGAGCCCGCGCCTCGCGAGCGAGAGGACCCGGGTTCGATTCCCCGGGCGGGTCAGGTCAGGGCGAAACGTTGGGCAAGTTTCCTTAAGGCGCTGTATCAAATGCAAGGATTATTTTATTCTTATAAAATATTTGCCGTAGCATTTGACACAGCGCCTCTTCACGTCTTCGAGAAGTCTCAAAGTGCTTCGCAGGATACACCGCCTCTGTTTCCCGGCGGTCAGTAGGAACCCGTTTGTTAATCGATTGGTGGATCGCGTTTCCGGGGGTAATAATCCCTTCAAATTTGGTCACTCAACCCACGGCTGTTAGTGGGGGGAACGCTGCTGTGCGCAATTGGCTGCCGCGTTTCGCCCACAAAATACGCAGTCACTACACTTTACACTGTGAAGCGATTTGAGACTTCTCGAAGATGTGATGAGAATTTATTATTATTATACGTGTGATTTATTATCGACTGCACAGGATACAGGAAGAGGGGGCGGATGATGTGCTGTAAGGACTTTGAGTCTCTTGATGTGATATTAATCCAACTTTTTTTTGTTGCTGAACACTTAGGCTGAGGGCGAGGGGGGGGTTAAAATGGTAATAATAATTCATATTGAAAGCTGCAGGGTAACCTATGAAAATAAATATAAATATAATACTAATAAATATAATACTAATAAATATAATACTAATACATACAATAATAAATATAAAAAAGCTAATAATAAATATAATACTAATAAATATAAATATAATAATAATAAATATAATACTAATAAATACAATAATAAATGTAAATATAATAATAAATATAATAATAATAAATATAATAATAAATATAAATGCAATAATAATAATTTCTGGGGTTAGGAGAACCTCGAGGAACAGTGGCTTCTCATCAGCACAAACTATTTTATATTCTTTTATTATTCTGTTTAATCCCTGTTTTTTTGAAGAACTAAAAAATAATATTCCCAACAGAAACACTCACTGATTCAGCATCGAACAAAGGTTTTGTGCCGTCATTTCTCTCTCTGCCCATCTCCGCCCTGAACATCGTGGAGTCCTGTAGCTCAGTGGTTAGAGCACTCGCTTTGCAAGTGAGAGACCTGAGTTCAATTCCAGGCAGAGGGCGAAACCTCGGGCAAGTTTCCTTACTCCACACAGAGCCTAATAATAATCCTCCAAAACCAAAAACAATAATAAATTGGTCATTTTCAATCTACGACTGTTTGTGGGACATTGCTGTGCGCAATTGGCTGCTGCGTTCGCCCACAAATATACAGTCAATTCACTTTACAGTGTGTTCTGTGAAGCGCTTTGGGACGTCTTCCCGACGTGAAAAGCGCTATATCAAATGCAAGGATTATTATTATTATTATTATCTGCAGCTCGTAACGGAACTGGGATCGAGATTCCAATCATCAAGCCCAATACTCGGGACCGGGCCAAAGGCGACAACGCAATGACAATGCGCTCCTGTGTCTTTCAACCATATCTATTGCCTCTCTCTCTCTCTCTCCCCTCCGCCCCAACACCCCCCAACTCTCCCATTCTACTTGAGACACTTTTTCACCCAAAGGGTTAGTGGACCTCTCTCTCTCTCTCGCTCTCTCCCTCTCCCCCAAAAGGCTGTGGGTTATGGCTGTGGATTCATTCCCATTGTCCAGACTGAGATGGGTTGATGTTTTCAGGTCAGGGGATCAGGGGATATGGGGGCAAAGGCGGGCAATTGGGGCTGAGGTACAGATCAGCCTCTGTTTACCAGCGGTCAGCAGGAACCCGGTTGTTAGTCGATTGGAGAATCGCTTTTCCGGGGATAATAATCCCTTCAAAATAGATAATAATTAAAATAAAATAAAAGAAATAATAATTTGGTCACTTCAATCCACGACTGTTTGTGGGGACGCTGTTGTGCGCGATTGGGCTGCTGCGTTTTGCCCACAAAACACCAAGTCACTGCACTTTACGGGGTAACCTGTGAGGGCGATTATTATTATGTAACAAAATGGCGGGACAGGCTCGAGGGGCTGGATGGCCTCCTCCCGCTCCTGTGCGTCTACGTCAACGGCGGAAACTCTGCCACGCACGGTTGCGGTTACTAAATGGAGTTGAACTCCCCGCTCGGCTCTCTTTGCTCGCTTCAGGGAGATGTGTACACAAATAGCTCATATTCATCACCTCGGCAGAAGCTCGACACGCGTGCGGTTACGGCAGCATTTTATCAATCAATTAAGGGCCAGCGATGCATCTGTCGTCCAGCAGAGAAACAGCAGGACCTGATATTACAATCTCTTTCCCTGAGCATTTGTCTCAGAAATTAGCTGCCGGGAAATTTTCACACCGGGCGGCTCAGGGCAACTTACAGATGGCACAAACTATGCGGAGTCATGACGCGGAAACGTAGAACAGTCTCGAGTCCGGTCAACGTTCAACCAAATGTGATCCATCAGGCGAGGGAAGGACAGTTTCGTCTGGGTTTTAGGGGAACGCTGGAACAACAACACCACCACATGGCATTTACATAGCGTCTCTCACGTCAGGAGGACGTCCCAAGGCGCTGAACAGTCAGGGGGTTGGACCCGAGCTGGGGGTTGGGATCAGGAGGGGGTGGAGGGCGGGGAGAGTGGTGGTAGGAGGGTGACTGAAGGCGCAGTTGGGCGAAGAGGAGGGTCTTGAAATGGGCGTTGAAGGAGGCGAGGGAGGGGGTGAGGCGGAGGGACAGCGGGGTGGAGTTCCAAAGGGTGGGGACAGAGAGAGTGTGAAGGCCCAACTGGTGACGGTGGGGCGGGCGAGGCGGGGGACGTGAAGCAGGCCGGAGCCCGCTGAGCGGAGGGATCTTCAGAGAGAGTTTGGTGGTGGGACACTGGAGACAATGGCACATACAAGTAGAATCCTTGGCCATAGATAGTCCTTATTCCCTAATGAAAGCAACTCTGTAAAGGCAGAATTTAAAAAAAAACACTATTAACTCAAACGCCCAGGGTGTTGGGCTCCTTTAGCTGGTCCCCTTGCATTTGATACAGAGCCTTATCACGTTGAGACATCTCAAAGCCCTTCACAGAATATGTAGTGTAGTGACTGTGCATTTCACGGGCGAAACACGGCAGCCAACTGGGCACAGCAGCGTCCCATAAAACAGTCATTATATATCCTGGTTAATAGATATGAATTCTGATAATTTGCTGATGTTTAATGTGGCTTTATCTCTCCTGTTTTGCTTGATTAGATGAGGGCTGGTGGTGCTGTTGATCGCAGTTTGTTCACTGATGCCTATTGTAAAGTCTGCAGCGCTCAACTGATCTCTCAGTCTCAAAGAGTGGCGCATTACGAGGTAAGACACAGTTCAAGATCCTGGTCCTCACCTTCAAAGCCCTCCATGGCCTCGCTCCTCCCTACTTCCGTGACCTCCTAACCCCCTACCATCCGGACTGCTTCATGTTCCCCTGTTTCTCCTGCCCAGTGGTCGGGCCTTCAGCCTCTCTGGCCCCAACCCTCTGGAACCCCATCCCGCAGTCCCTCCGCCTCGTCCCCTCCCTCGCCTCCTTCGAGACCCGTCTCAAGACCCTCCTCTTCGACCGTTTCGAGGAAGAGCAAAGGCAGGGAATCCCACCAGATGTTACACAATCTGTTAAAGCCTGACCAACAATCAGCGAGGGCTTGGCAAGGCAATTGGTCTCAAGAGGGAGTCAATTGGCAGATCGCTTTTCTTCCGAGAAAAATAATAATAATAATAATTTGGTCACTTCATCCACGATTGTGAAGCTCTTTAGGACGTCCTCGCAAACCGAAAGGTGCTTCAAATGTAAAGATTATTATTATTATTATTATATTAACGTAATAATCCGTTCAAAAAATAATGTGGTCACTTCAAACCATAGCTGTTTGTGGGGACGTAATTGGCTGCGCGTTTTGCCCACAAAACATACAGTCACTACACTTTACAGAATAGTCTTTGAGATGGCTCGAAGACGTGATAAGGCCCTATGTCAAACGCAACAATGTACTATTAATAACAGTACATTATTATATTATATTATATATTATTATTCTGTTCCTAATAAAAACTCATTGTCCCTACGTCTGTCAGAGGTTCTGCACCACAGAAGCAGTGTATGGAACGGACGTGTGAGCTACCGTTTGCTTTGAAGTAACTTTGGGAGGACAAATGTGATTGCAGCTGGATTTAGAACTAAGCCCAATACTGCACAAAACAACAACAAAATTACATTTATAGAGCGCCTTTCACGTCGGGAGGACGTCCCAAAGCGCTGAACAGTCAGGTGTCAGGGCCTGAGCGTGGGGGAGGGGTGGTGTAGAGGTATGGGAAGGCAGAGAGGTGGGAGGAAGACCAAAGGCACGGTCGAAGAGAAGGGTCTTGAGACCGGCCTTGAAGGAGGCGAGGGAGGAAGCGAGGCGAAGGGACCGTGGGATGGAGTTCCAGAGTGTGGGGGCAGAGAGGCTGAAAGCCCGGCCACCGATGGTAGGGTGGGTCGGGCGGGAGACATGGAGCAGCCGGAGCCCTCTGAACGGAGGGAGCGGGCAGGTTGGTAGGGAGTCAGCAGGTCAGAGAGGGAGGAGGGGGCGAGGCCATGGATGGCCTTGAAAGTGAGGATGAGGATCTTGAACTCGATCATCTGGGGGGTGGCTACATAAATCACTACAAGCTCTGAGGGTCAGTCCGGCCGCTGTCAGCAATCCGGCATCCAACATCGCCACAAAATTTGACCTGAGCCCATTCTAACATTAATACATTTTCAAAATCCACCCGTTTTACGAGGACAATTTCATCCAAATCCTCCCCAGTCCTTTGGAATATTCATAAACTGGACAATTTTTATCCATCGATTTCTTCTCCCCAGTTGGACACTTTCCGAAATGCGGTGATTTCTCTGGAAAAAAAAAACCTATTTCCCCGGCGATAAACAAGAATTTATTTTGTTTCCGATGTACCACCGATTGTGGCTGATTTGTACTCAATGGTATATAACAATAATAATAATCGTCCTTGCCTTTGATACAACGCCTTATCACGGCTTCGAGACGTCTCGAAGCTCTTCACGTGACTGCAAAGTGAATTGACTGTGTATTTTGTGGGCGAAACAGTTACCGGAATCATTTGAACACAAAAGACTTCACAGAGTGTGAGACGTTCTCACAGTTTTGGAGGTTTTTGCCGTGTTGTTGGGGCTATTGTGAGAACCGAACGGATTGAAGATTCACTTCGGGATTCACAGCCCCTCATTTTCTACAGTTCCGCAGCGTACAAAGCACAAGTAGTTTTGTCTGTCAAAGAGGAAAGGAGATTGCAATTCGTAGACGAGGTGCTTTTCAATTTGCAATCATTTTTGTTTCACCTGTTTAAGAATGTGTTTTCCTCTCTGCAGTACTGCCCGAGCAAACACATTTGCTGTGTGTTTTTTTAATACAATTCAATATAAAATGACATGGCCGAAGGCAGAAATTTAGGGCTCCCTTTTGTGAAGGTGACTTTGCAACGGGAGAGGTGGTGAGAGTTAAGCGTAGAGTGAAAGAGATACAAGGAATATATAGCCCGGAGTGTAATGCAACGTGTCAGCCGCAAACGGTCTCTTGGTACATATGTGATTGTCTCTTGCAATAAGTAATAATTGGTCAGGGCTATGGGGAGAGAGTGGGGGAGTGGGGTTAATCAGGGCTATGGGGAGAGAGCGGGGGGAGTGGGGGCGATTTGGAAGCTCTTTTCAAAGAGCGGGCACGGACACGATGGGCCGAATGGCCTCATTCTGCGCTGTATTATTCTGTGACTCGGTGAAGGTGGGCAAAACATTCCCACCAACATCACCCCCATCCCGTTATTTAAAACATATATTTTTATTGCAAATATTTTTGCCTCGTGTCCAGTATTCGCCCGAGTTGGGTCATTTCGAAGGTCCTTGTGTCAAGACATTATTACACGTGGCAAATCCCAATCGATAACCCACAATAAATTTGTCAGGAATCGCTGGTAAATCAGGCATTTGAAAGCAAGCGATTGGGTGGGGGGAGTGGGGGAGGGAAGGGAAGGGGTGGGGGGTGGGGGGGGGTGGCGCGGAGTTGGGAACAAGATGGGCAAAGGAGGGCAGATGTCACGAGCCTTGCGCGGGAATAAAAACAATGTTAAATTAGGAGCACGACAGCATCGAAGCGCACTTCGGAAACAACACCACAACCAAACAACCGCAGCTGCTCGGGGCGTTGAGTGGTTGACTTGTTTTTACCTGTTTTAAGTTACTCACGTTTCTCAGTTGACGCGCAAATTTAATCTCCTTTTTTTCTCCCCTCAGAGCCGGAAACATGCCAGTAAGGTACGACTTTACTACATGCTCCATCCGGTGGATGGCAGTTGTCCTGCCAAGAAACTCAGATCAGAAAATGTAAGTCTCCGACCCTTTAGGTTTGATGTATTGCTTTGATTTATTAGTCCCCCAATGATAATAATAATTCCTCACACCCCAGTGACGTCCCCACAAACAGTCGAGGATATTAATCTCCACGCGCGGACAAACGGAAGCAGTGTTTGCTGAGGGGCAGACGGGAGGACACAGGGCAGAAACGTTACTGTACTATACTGCTATATCATAATACTGTATTATACTATATTGGGGACTAACGAGGACTGCGTTCGGAAAGAGGAACAAGCTCAGGAGTTGTGTTTTGCGGAATTGCTGGAAACCCAGAACAGGGGCGGCTCAGAGTGAACGGTTGAGTCTTATAGAATCATAAAATCATAGAATCTTACAGCACGGAAGGAGGCCATTCGGCCCATCGTGCCTGTGCCGGCTCTTTGAAAGACCTACCAACTAGTCCCACTCCCCCGCTCTTACCCCAACTAGTCCCACTCCCCTGCTCCTACCTCAACTTGTCCCCACTCCCCCGCTCTTACCCCAACTAGTCCCACTCCCCCTGTTCTTACCCCAAAGCTCTGCACATTTTTCCTTTTCAAATCACTATCCAATTCCCTTTTGAAAGCTATTGTGGGTTCTGCTCCCATTAGCCTTTCAGGCCGTGCGCTCCAGACCATAACAACTCTCCGGGTAAAATGAATGCCTCCTCGTCTCCCCTCGGTTACCGACCCACCCGCCCGCCAGTGGGAAACAGTTTCTCCCTTGTCTACTCTTATCAGAACCTCTCATAATTTTGAACCCCTCGATTAAATCTCCCCTTAACCTTTTCCGCTCTAAGGAAACCAATCCGAGCTTCTCTCATCTCTTCCCATAACTAAAGTCCCTCATCCCTGGTTTCATTCTTATTGTTATCATTCTCCTGGAGCTCAGGGGTTCGAGCCCTCTCCTCGCAAGCGAGAGGACCCGGGTTTGATTCCCGGACGTGTCAGGTCAGGGCGAAATGTTGGGTAAGTTTCCTTACTCCCCCCGACCCCCCCCACCCCACCCACCCCACCCACCCACACACATGCGCCTCCGTTTACCAGCAGTGATTAGGAACCCGGTTGTTAATCGATTGGGGGATCACTTTTTCGGGGGTAATAATCCCTTCAAAAATAAATGAATAAATAAAATGATAGTAATTTGGTCACTTCAACCCACGGCTGTTTGTGGGGGACGCTGCCGTGACCAATTGGCTGCCGCGTGTCGCCCACAAAATATACAGTCACCGCACTTGACAGTGTACCCTGTGAAGCGCTTTGAGACGTCTCGAAGATGTGATCAGGCGCCGGGTCAAATACAAAGTTTATTATTATTCATTATGAGTGTTGTTAGTGTTATTGGTGCAGGTTTGTCGGGGTTTGGCTGGGAAGAAGCGTCAGATCAATAGCACACTATATTATATATGCTTTCACACTGCCCGGCCAACAGAAACCACCTGTTTAGATACCTTCCACGTCCTTAATATAAATAACTCCAAACTCTCTGTGGTTTAGCTTTCTGCTGCTCTGGCATAACTGGAAGTATTGTTCCAGGTTTAAGCGTTCTGAGACGTCGTTGCCGTTGACTTTCTCCAACCTGTTAAATATCTTGTATAAATTTATAAGATTCCCTCTTGTGAATTCCGAGCTTCTCTCGTTGTGTCTCTTCCCAGTTAATACCGACGTCGGTTGCCAACGTTTCTTCCTCACCTAAATTTATCTTACTTGATTATTCATTTCCTCCTTGTTTGTCGGACACTGCTGGTACAGGGTTCTGCATTGCATACGAATCTGTTGATGATGTGTGTTCAGATCGTGACTCGTTCTTCAATTAAACTATTATTTTGGCTAAAAGACAAAATGCTGCGGATGCTGAAAATCTGAAATAAAAACAGAAGTGGCTGGGAACTCGCGGCAGGTCAGGCAGCATCTATGGAGAGAGAGAAATGTGAGCTAACGTTTTAGGTCGATTGACCTTTTCGTCGATGGCCTGAAACATTAAGTGGCTTTCCACGCTCTCCGTAGATGCTGCCTGACCTGACCTGACCTGACCTGCGGAACGTTCCCGGCCACTTCTGTTTTTATTTATCATTTCTTACTCGTTTCGGGATCGATCTCACCTCTTCCGTTTCAATTAAAAGGAAGAGCTTGACATCCTAGTCACCTCAGAAATTCTACATTACTGACACTGAACTTACCTCGTCATTATTGGTAGGAGATTTGCTGGCACCAGGTTGTTGCTGTGTTTGGCTCCTTCCTAATTAACTTTCTAATTAATCTCACTCTCCGCACGGCATTTGGAGATGTTTCCATATAAATGTAAGTTGCTGTAGCTTATTTTTAGGATCGTACATCAGTCTCGTTCTCCTCTGAAATCTCCTTTGAGATTCCTACTGGCCTATTGTGTCACAGGAACACTGTACATCGCTCCACACTGGAATCAACTGCGACAGAAAAACATGATTAGGCTGCGTTTGGCAGATTCTTTATATAATTGGGCAACAAAACCAGAATCAAATGTATATTCCAAAGCCCAACCACACACACACACATCTACTGTTGTTTGTTTCAGAAGTGGTAGGAAGTGACTGAATCAAACATGTTCCCAGCGTCTGACAACAGAGACGGGGGGAGCGATGGGTTTGTAGTTTCACGGACTGATTGGGCTGACCTTGAAATTGTCAAATTAAAGAACCTGCACCGTTATAATAATAATCTTAATAATCTTTGCATTTGATATAGCGCCTTATCACAGGATATACCGTAAAGTGTAGTGACTGTGTGTTTTGTGGGCGAAACGCGGCAGCGAATTGCGCACAGCAGCGTCCCCCACAAACGGCCGTGGGTTGAGTGACCGAATTAATATTTTTCATGATTAAACATATTTTTGAAAGGATTATTATACCCCTAAAAGCAATCGGCCAATCGACTAACAACCGGGTTCCTACTGACTGCCGGTAAACAGAGGCGCGCGCGTGTGTGTGTGTGTGTGCGCGTGTGCGTATGTCTGTGTGTGTGTGTGTGGGTGGGGGGTAGTAAGGAAACTTGCCCAACATTTCGCCCTGACCTGACCCGCCTGGGAATCGAACCCGGGTCCTCTCGCTTGCGATGCGAGGGCTCGAACCCCTGAGCCGCACATAGTCCAAATCATTTTCATCTCCAACAATTTTTGAGCAATGAGTTAAAACTGTCTTCATATCACAATCTCTTGCAAATCAATTGATCATCAGATACAGCCCTTAATTATATCTCAGGAGACGTAGAGAATTAAGTTTCCTTAGTCCACAGACACGCGCCTCTGGTTACCGGCAGTCAGTAGGAACCCGGTTGTTAGTCGATTGGCGGATGGCTTTTCCCGGGATAATAATTCCTTAAAAAAATAATAATTTGGTCACTCAACCCACGGCTGTTTGTGGGGTCGCTGCTGTGCGCAATTGGCTGCCGCGTTTCACCCACAAACTATACAGTCAAATCACTTTATAGTGTATCCTGTGAAGCGCTTTGAGACGTCTCGACGACGTGATAAGTTGCTGTAACAAATGCAGGGATTATTATTATTATTATTATTATTATTACTACAGCAGCAGCTAAAGGACACGGCAGCAGCGAATGAGTTAACTTATTCCTCTCTCAAAGCAAATGCAAAGCAAAAGCTCTTTACCTCTTTCAGATATAATTTTTTTTTTGCCAATTTCTTTATAGCCCTGGGATTTATTTCACGTGTCATAAATCCTTTTCCCCGGTGGCATAAACTGTGCAGCAATGCCGCAAGCCGCCTGCGTCCTGAACCTCTGTGAGTGAAGCATTTTCTCGAACCGCCAGAATTTCCAATGATCTGGAGCTGAATTCATTCTCGACAGTCAGTGATGGCTGTTGGATTTTAATAATAATAATGATAATAATAATCCTCGCATTTGACACCGCACCTTATCACGTCTTCGAGACGTCTCAAACTGCTTCAGGGGATACGCTGCGCGTTTTGTGGGCGAAGTGCAGCAGCCGATTGCGCACAGCGGCGTCCCCACGAACTGTCTACCTACTGATCTGTTACACTCACAAATTCCTATCGCCTTTCTTTTATTACATCACCTGTGTCCTCGGAGAGAATACAGTTACATTAGGAATCCTGTAGCTCAGGGGTTAGAGCCCGCGCCTCGCGAGCGAGAGGACCCGGGTTCGATTCCCGGGCGGGTCAGGTCAGGGCGAGATGTTGGGCAAATTTCCTTACTCCGCATCCCCCCACCCCTCACACACACACACATACACACACACACGCCTGATAATACAACACTGCACGGTCAGGTGTCGGGCCTGAGCTTTGGGTGGTGTAGGGGTGAGGGAAGGCAAAAAAATAATAAAGTTGGTCACTTCAACCCACGGCTGTTTGTGGGGGACGTCGCTGTGCGCAATCGGCCGCCGCGTTTCGCCCACAAAACACAGTCACTCCACTTTACAGCCTATTCTGTGAAGCGCTTTGAGACGTGATGAGGCGCTGTGTCAAATGCCCGGATTATTTATGTATTATTATTATTACAGTCATTCCAGCAGAAAATAGAAATGAATCTTAAACCTTTTGAGTCTAAAACTTGTCAGTTACGTTGCCTGTTCTGTTTTTAAATTGATGACAACTTTCAGACTATTCCCTTGAAACACGTTGACTGTGCAATTTAATTCAGAAGAAATATGTGATTTCTCCCCCTTTCTCCCCACAGACTTTTAGGAAAGTAAATTAAAATGCTGCAAAGAAGAAAACACAGGGGTTTACATTTGGCTTTTTAAACATATGATTAATGAATATTTTATTGAACAAAATCATCAAATATCACCTTGATTCACAGTAGAGTTTTAATGCAGATCGAGTATAAACCGTGTCTGTGGAATGACTCACTGGTGCGTGTCTGTGTAGATGTGTGTGCACGTGTGTTCATGTGTGCGCGTGGGTGTGCGCGTGTGAGTGCGTGTGTGAGTGTGTGTGAGTGCATGCATGTGTGTGAGTCCATGTATGTTTGT